CCCAATCTGGTGTTGGAGGCAGGATGGGTGCCAAAGGAGCCTTAGGCAGGGCGGAGGGCAGGCTGCGGTGGAAATCAGCCCAACGAGACACAGCCCTCCACAGTCTGCAAGGCACACCCCTCTCCCACCTGTGTTCTTTACTCTTTAGGAGCCGGGAGAGCTGGGGATGTGGTCCACACTTTACAAATGAGCAAGCTGAGGCCCAGAGCATGAAGCAATTTTCCACAAGTCAGCAGCAGAGGCATGCTGGGGCCTGGGCCTGACTTCCAGTCCTGTGGGCTTCTCTCAGGTTGGCACATGGGAATTTGGAGACAGCAAAGTGATGAGGCTCAGACTTCTGGCAAGGGCATGGCTTTGCAGCTAGGGGGATGTGAGTCCAAACCCTTGCTTCGTGGTGGGTGATACTGGGCTATTTACTTCACCTCTCCCGCCTGAAGTTTTCTCATCTGTAAAATGGGGGCATTTGTAGAGCTTCCTCATGGGGTGTTGTGGAGATGACCCGATCTCTGTGTGCAGGGACTGGCCTTGCCAGGTGGAAGCCATTTCTGTAGCCCCTGGGCTGTGTCCCCACCCATCCCTGTGCCCAAGGCCAGCTGGGAGCTTTCCTGACACAATGCCTGACCACCCGCAGGCCAGATCTTGCTCAGAGGGAAGTCTGCATATGCAGCTGCGAAGTTCCCAGGGGCGCACCCTAGCTGTGGCCACCTGCTTTCCCTGCGGACACACAACCAACCACCTGGATGCCCTTGCCCTATGCCCAGCCTCACGGACAGGGCCTCAGGGGGCGGTGCCACTGCTACTGATGTAGCTGTGAGGGATCTGCTGCCCCAGGGTCCCAGTGGGGCCTGAAAGGACTTTATAAGTGGTGCCACCCAGCCCCTGATCCAGGAACAGGACTGCTTCAGTTTCCTGCCTGATCTTGTTGCACAGCCCCAAGAACAGAGAGCTCACTTCCATCCCCAGGTCATCCATGTTATTTCAGAGGACTTTGCTTTTTATAAATTAGACTTGTCCAGCCTCACCCCTGGGGTCCCAGCCTGCTTGGAAGTCTCCTAGCAGTCTGCTTCTTCTCTCCAGGCATCTTGCAGAGATCTGGGGTTGGGGCTCAGCATTCCCGAGTCTCCTGTGATCCAGGCATACTGCTAGCACCTTCAGGTGTGAGGTTAACAGGCCTTCCCTGCCCTGGCTCCTGTTCCGCTGTGCTCTTATTTTTCCCTGCAAATTAACTCAAAGAAGCATTCATTAAACCCCACTTATGTGCCAGGCCTTCTGCTGAGCACTGTGAACACGGGGCCACCAACATGGTCTCTGGTTGACAGGACAGTCCCAGAGTTAAGATGAATTCAGACTCAGAGAACCTGGCCTCTTGAACCTGGCCAGGCCACTGAGCAAAATCCCAGCCTGCTCACAAGAGCATGGGGAATGGAAGAGGGAAGCCCAAGCCCGTCATAACAAAGCTGGACCTGGATTCCAGCTTCCATCCAAATCCACATCCCCAGGCCCCTCAGATCCGCTGAGTGCTGGGCGCCTCTAGTACTATTCTACCCTAAAAACAGCCAGGCCAGACCCCAGCCTGGACCAGGGCGGCTGTGCACAGGATCCAGGTGCCCGGGAGCCTCGGGGCCTTGGAAGAGGGAAAGGCCTTGGCTCTGTTGTTCTTCTGCAGTTCTTCCTGCTTTGTTCCCCACCCGCTCCGAGACTCAGCCACTTAGAAACTCATGACTTCCTGGTGGGGCTGCCGGCTCAGGCGAGTGTATAAATTGCGACTTGTGCATGGGTGAGAGGAGCCCCTGCTAGGAGCTGCTGAGTGGCTCCTTGGGCTGTTGCGCAGACCTTCGGGGCAGGGAAGGGTCACTCCCTGAGCGACAGTTCTCTCCTCTGCAAAATGGTCTCGACACTCACCTTGCCAAGTGGGGCGGTGAAGCTGTCTACGAGCCAGCAGGCATAGGGTCCCCCCCTAGTGTTTGGCGTGCACCGCAGGAGACAGAGTGTGGGCGGGGCCCAAGACCTGTGCTCTCCACTGCTGGTCACTGACCTGCTCCCTGCTCTGTGGCCGGCACAAGCCCCAGCCCACGGAGCTGTGTCCCCAGGCGGATGGGATGACGGCGCTCACAGGTCCTCATCCCACTTTTCCCTCCTGCCATAGAGCACACACTGCAGTCTGGACACGGACACTGTCCCACAAGCCAGTGGCAGCAGTGGTAGGAAACGAGGCAGCACCCATGGGCCCCATGTTCTGTAGGACTTTGCCAGTGCAGTCCCTGCCCTTTGCAGAGGGTGTCTGAGGTGTAACCGTGTCCGTCACTCTCAGGTGGCCCCTGGCTGTGCCTGTGATCACTATGAGCCCCCAGGCCAGCAGGGATGGGGACCCAAACCAGGAGGACGCTTGGAGAGAGGAGACACTGCCCGAAGCTCTTTCCCAGCAGAACTCTCCCAGGAAGCTCTCACCTCTTGTTCTCTTTTATTTTACACTATTTTTGGTGGTACTGGGAATCAATTTTGGGTTTTTTTTTTTTTTTTTTCCGGTACCAGGAATTGAACTCACGACCTTGCGCTTGCTAGGCAGGCGCTGTGCCATTGAGCTAAATCCCCAGCCCCAGTACTGGGAATTGAACCCAGTACCTTCACCCTCAGTGGCATCCCCACACGTTTAAAATGTCTTATTTTGGGAAAAGGGTCTTACTAATTTTTCCAGGCTGGATTGGAACCTGTGATCCTCCTGCCTCAGCCTCCTGGAGTGCAGGTGTGTGCCACAAGCCTGGTTTAGGATTCTCCCCCTGGACCCTCCTTGTCCCAGCTCCTAGGGCTACACATTACCTTGGGCAGGTCAGGGGTCTCTGAGCCACAGAGGACTGGGCAGGGAGCAAAATAAGATAAAGGGAAACTTGGTGAGATGGCTCCTGCCTGTAATACCAGCACTGCAGGAAGCTGAGGCAGGAAGATTGTGAGATCAAGCCCAACATAGGCAATTTAGGGAGAATCTGTCGCAAAAGAAAGAAAATAAAAGGGCTACGGATGTAGTGCAGAAACTCATTTCAATCCCAGCTGATCTCTCCTCCCGCCCCACCACACACAGATATGGGGGCATGAGGGACAGGGAAGTGGCCCTCTCTGAAAGAGGACTTTCACATACACTGTTTCGGTAGAAAATGGCAGAAAGCTCTGTGTGCATGTGTGCTCACACATGTATGTATGTATGAATGTATGTATGTGTGTGCTGGCCTCAGCCTGGATGCCACTGAGGCTGGGATGCAGGGTGGTCTGCAGTCTATGCTGGAAGGGTAGCATGGCCCTGGCTGGCCTGGGTGTGCACTGTCATGGGCCCCAGGGAGACCCTCTAGGCACCGTGAGAAACACCAGCTCCTTCCATCTGCCCCCACCCCAGCTTTCCCCGTGTGATAGTGACAGTCATACCTCCTTGCCAGTTAGGGGAGCCATCAGCAGGCACCTGCACCCTGTGCTCCCGGTAGCTGCAGAGGCCTTGCAGGATGGTGGCCTTGCAGGTCTCTAAGTGGCCGGGAAGGAAGCTTAGGTCTCCTGAGGACTACCCAGACTCTCCCGTGCTGTCATGTTGAGGTGCCTCCTGTGTGCCAAGAAGAGCGAGACGGTCCCTGGGGGCAGGGAGGAGGCACACGGAGACACGAGTCCGGTGTGCAGGGCTGGGCGTGCAGCACCTCAGCCAGTGTCTCCTCCGTGAGCCCGCTGACTCTGTCTCTGCCTTTGTCTCCCTCTCTCTGCTCTCTGAAATTAAATGGGAACCAACCGCCAGCTCCTTGTGTGTTCCCCTGCTCGAGGCTCAGCCCTTTGCATTATTAATAGAAATACGTCCTCATTGTACAGCCTAATTCTGCTTATCTGGACTGGATTAAGTGTTCACAATGACATGCAGCACTGATTCCTGAGCATCCTTGTTAAAGGAATTTTGCCATGGCCTAATGAGTTCCATAAATCACTGGGGATGGGCGAGGGAGGTAAGGGGAGCCTGGGTGGAAGAAGGAGCCCGGGTGGAAGTAGGAGCCCTGATAGCGACTTCCTGCGGAGCGGGTGGGGTGCGTGCGGGGGTGGTTGGGCTGGGCCCTGGGGGGTGAGCAGGGCTGGGAGAGGAGGTGGGTGCCATGGCTCCAAGTCCCTGAGGGCAGGAAGGGGGAATGGTGGGAGCATGGCTCTGGAGCGAGGGCCTGGGCTTGGACCCCAGATGCTGTCACACGGCCAAGTGACTTGCCTGTCCCTTAGCTTCTGTATCTGTGAAATGGGGGAAAGCTGAGGTCAGAGTCTGCCCTGGGTTTGAGTCCTGCCTGTTGCTGCTGAGCTACAGAGGCCTCCTGGGGGCTGCGTCCAGGAGCAGGGGGCAGGCTCAGCACATAGCCAGTGTGCAGAAATGTGACCTCCCTCGCATCATCGTTCCTTCATCACCTTCTCAGGCGGCCTTCAGGGTGCCAAGGGAAATGCAGGGCTCTGTCCACACCACCTTGCCTTCTGGGATGGCTGGGGCTCCATCCTGAAGGCTTGCCGTGCCCATCCTGGGTCCTTGTTCACACAGGCCCAGGCAGCGGAACCTATGCCCACTTTCCCTCCAGCTGAGGACAGTGCAACCAGCAGGGCTGTAGGGAGGCTGGGGCAGAGCTGGTTCCACAATGATGTGTCTGACTGTGCGGCCTGGGCCCGTCCGTCATCCCCTCCCCACCTGGGTCTCCTGATCCATCCAAGGGGCTGTCTGTGCTTGGCAGGGCTGCCTGTGACCAGCATAGGGGTCTGTGGGACCACAGCAGGGGTGAGACACAGTGACACTCGTTCTATCCCCACAGCTGGGTTTGCGTGGGTTCCACGGGGCCTCCCAAGCCCCCAGCCCCGGCTCCCTGCTGCATACTCCACTGAGCTCGGTTGGAGCCTCCCGGTCGTGGCCTCTAGGCTCAAGCAGAACCAGGCCCCCGAGGCTTGTTTCCAGTTTTTAATGTTTCTCTTGTAAAACAAAAATATAAAACTGGCAGGGGAATGGGAAACACGTTCCATACATTTTATATACACGAGGTCTGTGATTCTGAAACCGAAGGCGAGAGAAAAAGGAAGACACAACCAAGGGCCTATCACACGGCCATTGTCCCTGGCAGGCACCACTGAGCTCAGCCCCGTGTGGCAGCCTAACTGGCCCAGCCCTGGCAAGGGTGGCGCAGAACCATGCGCAGGCCGGCAGGGGCTGCCCTCCTTCAGGTGTCTGTGTAGATGGAAGGGATGTGGCTCAGACAGTGGTCAAAGGCACCGTTGGGGAAGAAGCCGCAGTCCTCGGGACCACCGGACACCACGTCTTCAGATGACTGTGGGGGTAGCACTGTGGGGCACGGGGCCTCGTAGCCTGTGGGCAGGCAGAAAGGGTCAGGCTGGCAGTAGGAGGCGCTCTGTCCTGTCTTGCCCAATTTACGGCCCCAGCCAGCTACCCAGGGCTCCTGCCTTCCACTGGGCTTCCAGCTGGGGCAGTGTATGCGGCGGGGTGGCCTGGGCAGCCCACACCCCAGGGCTGCAGAGGGGCAGAATGTGGAGTTTTGGACTCCCCCCTCCTGGCAGAAGAACTCTCCTCACCCCATCAGCCTCAAGAAACCCCCACACCAGAAGCAGTATTTACTAAGCACTCACTGAGTGGGCATCTAAGCCTTCTCTCACCTTAACTTCACAACAATCCCACGAGGCCGTCCGAGGGACTCGGGACAATGTGCACAAAGCCCCCTCACCTGCGGCAGGTAAAGGCGCGCTGAGGCTGGGGTAGCCACTGGGCCGCAGCGGGGTAAACCCGGGGACCTCCCCGGCCAGCCCATCCCCGCCGGCCGCGGGCTCGCCGCTCTGGTAGCAGTCACTGTAGGGGAAGCAGTTCTGGATGGAGTGGAAGCTGCCCTGGTAGCCTGCGGGCGAGGGGGCAGAGGCTGTCAGGGCGGGCGGGTCCGGCACACCACACCTCGCTGCCCCCAGCACTGTCTGGCCCAGGTACCACCCCGGGCTCCCATCCCAGCTCTGCCCTGCGGAGGGAAGGCTGAGGTGGTGGCCCTGGCTGGGAGGTGGCTGTGACGCAGGAAAGCCCGTCCTGCCTGTGGACAGAACAGACGCTTCCTCAGATCCAGTGCTCTGGCTAGGTGAGGTTTCCTATTGTTTGTTTATTTTTACCCTTCTCTAGGGACTGAACCCAGGGTCTTCACACCAGGCTATATTCCCAGCCCTTTTTTATTTTTTATTTTGAGATAAAGTCTCGCTAAATTTCCCAGGCTGGGTTTGAACTGGTTTGAATCCTCCCGCCTCAGTCTCCCAGAGTGCTGGGGTTACAGGCATGCTCCATCCCACACAGCTCCAGACCAGGAGCCTTTCAGGTCGCCTTGCCCTGGTTTCCCCAGCATGGTCCTCATCTCCGAGGCTGCCATTCCCTAAGGACCCACCTGTCCCCTCCCAGGCTCGTGTCATCCCTTGGCATTGCGACGGACAGCACAGGCCCAGTCAGGCCTTACCTTGCGGGCTGGGCAGCGGTGGGGGCGGGGGACTCTGGAAGGGGGTGTAGGGCGGCTTGCTGGGCAGCGTGGAGAAGGGCTGGGCCCCGGGAGACTGGTTTTGGGAGGATGCTGGCGATGGCCTGAGCCCCTTCAGCGGGCTGAGCATGGGCGAGAGGAGGCCGGGCCCCAACCTGGAGAGGAACAGACATCAGCAGGGCCCGGGTGGGGCACAGGGCGCTAACTCACAACAGTGCATGGGGTGCAGAGCAAATTCAGGCAGGATTTCAGGGGTGTGTGCAGGCCTTGAGCTCCCTGTTGGTGCTGTGTCCCCTGCCGGACACCACAGCTCTCACTCTTGAGGGTTAAATGCCAAGTCCCCTGCTGGGTGCCTGGCACTGTCACGCTGGGTGTGATGCCCAGGCCACCTGGAGGATAAGCCTGAGGCCAGACCACGCTGACAGCCTTGACAGGTCCTCAGCAGGACACAGCCCACGGCCTGGTTCACTGAGCCCCTGCCATCCCTCCCCTGGGCCCTGAGACAGGCGTTCTTGTGCCCTTTCTGCAGATCAGAAAACGAAGGTTCAGGGTGATTGCCCAGTGTACCCCTGGTGACACAGCCCTGACCTCATGAGTTACAGTGAAGGTGAAATTAAAGCAATGTAGATAAAGGGTCTAGTATGATGGGTGATCTATTCATAGCCACTCCATCAATCACCATTGCTGAGTGGAAGAAAAGCTAGACGGTTGACATTCAGGTTGGTCTCTCTTCTGCACAGTGCATTTTGAGAGACCTCTCCCCTCTCCACCTCTACTCACACAGAGTGATGGGGAGCTCAGCACCTCCAAATGCACAGAGCACAAAGCACGCAGGCCCAGGGCCACGCTGTCTGCAAACACCTGTTCTGAATGGACCACAGAGCCAGAGAGCTGTGCAGGTGCCCTGCGTCCAGCAGTCCTGCACGGCACGGAAGATCAGGCCCTCCCTCAGGCTCCCTAAGCCGTGGGTCCCAACCACAGAGACCAGCGTCTTGCACATGAGTGGCCTTGGGGGCTTCTGGGACCAGGCCGAAGATTACAGCCTGTCCAGTGCTGCACGTAGGCACGGGGAGGGAACAGGGCCCTCTGTTTTCTTGTGTGGACCTGTGGCCTCGTTGGATCGTCTACACTGAAACAGTGTGACTGCGGCGTCACAGCTCCAGGTGGCCTTGTCAAGCTGGGCGGACACTCTCGCCCTTCGTGTCACCTGTCTGTGGGCGCTGGAGGTGCGGGTCAGTGCCTTGTTCTGGGAAGCAGGGCTCTGGGGCGCAGTATGTGGAGAGCCCCACTTGCAGCTCTGCTCCTTTCAGCCTGGGCACCCTGTGATACCCCCCTTAACCATCCACACGCCCAGAGCCCTGCTGTTGAGGGCAGGGACGGGGCCTCTGCACTGGGCCCCTGGCTGAGCACTGGTATGTCCCCTTCTTAAGTTCACAGGCTGAGTCCGCGGCGCGTCTCTGCAAGCGACTTATCACAATCACCATCCTGCACGTTTTCAGGCCATGTCCCGTTCCTGTGCACTAGAAACTGGAGGGCTGCACACATCTGTGCCCCTTGTGGTCACTTCTCCCGGCCATGGGAGCGGGCCTCCTTCCTTACGGCCTGTTACCTCCAGGAGCCGGCTCTGACCCTGTGCTATCCAGGCACCCATGATCCGGCTCTCACAGATAGCTCCTGAATGGACCACAAGGCCAGCGCACGGCAAATAACGGCCAGGACAGACAAGCGGGTTCCTGAATTGCTCAGCTCCAAACCCCAGAGATGGATGGACAGAGCGGCAGAATTATGGAGAACCCCGTCTGTAGGGGAAAAACATGCATTTTCAAAGTTTGTTTTTCCTTTCTCAACCCTACCATAAATTCACATCTGCTACCTTCACAGGCAGTGAAATCAGATCCGCCCGCGCGCTCACCGACTGGCTCACCTGCAGCCTCTTCTCAATCCTGCAACTGACCCCAAGCAAATCCCTGCGCCAGCACTGGGACCACGTAACGAACACGGACCTTTGCTGGCCTGGCAGGCGGGGGCTGTGCACCTCGCACAGGGCTGGGGGAAAAAATCCGCTCTAATCCGAGTCTCCCTGAGCCAGGGTAAATACATTTAGTCATGAAGTCAGGCCCTTTTAGCATATTTTTGAGTGAATCAGATAATTCTGTCAAGCTATTTAAACGTCCCAGAAAACCACTGGGGAGCCTCACGGCCGTCCCCTGTTGACTTTGGCAGGGAGGGAAGGCTGGAGGCCCTTCCCACCCCCGCTTCTCCCGGACGGAAAAAAACCATTCAGCCAGGCCTGAGACCTGTGTCAAGCCCGAAGGCCTGTGCCTGCTGCCTGAGGGCTGGGGTGGGCAGGCGGCTGGGGTTCCACACTGTCATCGCTCTGCCTCTCACTCACAGAGGGAATTCCTCACAGGCACTTATGCAGGCAGGCAGCAGGCAGGTGGCGAATGAGGCGAGCAGAGAGCGAGGCCGGGCTGCAAAGGCTGCGTGGTTTATTTCCCCCTGCCTGGGGATGTGTGGTGAGCAGGTATCCCGACCAGGCGTGGGGCCAGTGTTGGGAAGCCTGTCCCAGGGGAGCCACGCGGCCTCAGGCCTGGGTGGCCAATAGTTGCCATGTTCCTAAAGGATATTTAATGCCACTACAGAGGAAGAGACAGGCTGAGGGAGGGCCTGGTTTGTGGGTCCCCGTGTACCCAGTTCAGGCTGGCTCTGCTCACGTAGCCAGTCTTTCCCAGCTCTGTGGAGCCCTGGGGAATAAGCATCCCTGATGCCCCTCCTATCCCTGCCCAGATGGGGTCTCCTGATCTTGCCTGCCCTGTGCTACCATTGCCTGTTCCTCCCCACCCAGCCCTGGCTCAGACGGCTGTCTTGCATCTGCATTCCATCCTATGCTGTGGGCCAGTGGGTCCTCCTCCCCAGACCTGGGTGTAGGCCTGCTCGACACCCTCGGGCCCAAACCTATCCTGGGCCACACAGTTGGGCCCTGGCGACTCACTCATTACCCCAACACAGCAGCTGTCACCAGACTGCCCTTTGCCCTTGTGGCTCCTCCCCCAGCCTGTCTGTTCCTCGACTCCAAGGGTGCCTCCCAGCCCCACCCACTACACCCTTGCACCACCACCCTGGGGGGTTTCTCCCAAGGAGGTAGAACACCTGCCCCTGAGGCCAGCCGGCCCCATGCCCCCTCAGTGAGCTCCTCCTGGTCAGGGCCGCCCACAGGGCTCCGCAAGTGGACCTGGGAGGAGCGGGTGGATGAACTGCAGGAGAAGCTGGGTTGGCAGTGGTTCCAGGTGCATGTTGGCTGAGGCTGCAGCCTGGGGTGCCATTATGGGTAACAAGCAAACTAGGAGGAAGATGTGCAGGTGGGACGTTCCTCTGCTCCCGTGCCAGCCGAGCAGATCTCGACAGCTAGTGCTTGCCCATCTACCGCTGCCAGTGGTGACAGTGGAACCACGCGGATGCAGGGAAAGGCCGTCCCTGCACACGGACCCTGCAGCAAGGGTCAGAGTCACAGTGGTCACAATGCAAGGGCTGGAGACAGGGCTGGGGCTAGTGCAGGGGAATCCGGCCAACTTAACAGCCACCCTGTGAGCCCTGGAGAAGCCCAGGGCGGTTTCTGAGGAGGCTGGGCAGGCAACAATACATGTGGGGTCCCGGCATCTTCCAGAAGCCCCCAGCAGGGAGCTCCAGGTGCCTATACTGCCTGCCTCGCAGGGTTGCTCACCTGTGATACCAGTGCCGCCTCCACGGAGGTCTGGGACAGAGCACAGGACATACACAGTGCTCCATAAAGGTGGGTGACTTTCAGTATCAGGACCAACCTGCAAGCATGGGCCATCTGCCCTCACCCACCTCCCGCACCCACGACTTCTACGCCCTCAGGACAGGCTCGGTACATACCCATCCCTGGAGCTCTCGGTCGGCAGAGGGGGCAGGTGGTGCTGGGAACTGGCCGCGGCATCCAGTGGGTGGTGCCTGGAAGGGACGTCATGGGTGGGGAGCAGGAGGCTGGAGGCGAGCCCATTGTGAGGGGTGATGGAGCCAGCGTACACACCTGCGGGGGACACGCGAGGTCACTGGGCTCTGGCCATTGCCTCGGGATGGCTGTGAACAGCCGAGCCGCATGCTCCAACTTATAGGGAGAAAATGACAAGAAGGAACACGACAGTGTTGGAAGGAAAAGCCTGTGCCAATAGAAGGTTAGGGACTCAAACAAGGGAGGTTCCAGCCCCACACCAGCTGAAAGGCTGGGGCCAGGCTGGGGCCACTCTGAGGACACAGGAGGGCTGCATGGTGCATCAGGGGCTTGTGCAGAGGAGGCTGCCCTAAACCTCAGTGGGGCTGTTCTGGAAATATAAGGGATTTCTCAGAATATCCCCACAAGCAGATGGGATCCCCAGAACACAGGGAAGCCTGAAAGAAGCAGAACCTGCTCAGGGCTTGGCAGAACCTCTAATGCTGCTATAAGATAATGGGCCGCCTTTGGCTAGAAGAATGATCCACCTTCAGAGGTGTGCGAGCACAGCTTGAGTGTCCACTGTGAAAGGTTCCAGAGAGCATGATTATGCTAGTTGGCCTGGAAGGCTGACCTGGGAGACCTCTGAAAGGGCTGCCATGGATGGTTGTATAGGCTGTACACTACACAAAGGACCCAAATTAAGACTGAGCCATATTCTAGTCCTAGACTCAACCTACAGGAGACACTTGGGGGCGATACCACCTTTTATGGGCTAACAAAACAGAGGGGATGCTAGATGACAATCATGTGTGGTCCAGAGGCCTGAGGGTTTGAGAACTAGTGATGCCAGCGTTCTCAGATGCTTTCACAAAGGACCCCAGTTAGAAGGAAGAGGGCACCCCTACTCTGGGAGAGGGACCTGAGAGGCTCTCCCAGGGTTACAAGTTTCTAATGCTTCCTATTTTATCTGAAAAGAAAGCGGGGCCATACTTTGCAACTCATCTTTAATCCAGCCACATTTGTTTGCATCAAACTGACACTTTTCCTGAAATCAATGAGTCAAGTTGACACCCACAGGACCCTGGATGTGGTGCCATGCCGGCGCAGCGCCCCCTCTGACTGGCCAGGCCACCCCCTGGTGGCCAGCTGAACACCACCCTGGTCCTTGGGGGTTACTGCCCTGTGAACTCCAGGGCTCCTTCCCTGGCGCTGCGAGGATGAGATTCACCTGCAATCCCGGGGCACCACAGGAGCCCAGCAGGGCCCTGATGGCTGCAAGCTTAGCTCTGTTCGGAGCAGCAGGGCAGGCAGCAAAGGAGAACAACTGCAGGGGTCAGTGACAGGGTGTGGGGGGACTGTGGCCAATGGGGAAAATGCACTCCATGGCCTTTACGCTGAGACGCCACCAACCAACAGCACACGGGAAACGGCCCACGGCTCTTGCAGACCTCACGGCTGCCTCAGGCAGGCAAAACTCCACTCCTAGGCGCAGCCACCGCTAGTTACCACACAGGCCCCGGGCGCCTCCACATACCAAGTCTAACGTCTCCATCACCATGGCCGGGGGAGATCAGATCTCACTTTAAGATGCAGATACCAAGTCTCAACAGGAGAAACGCCTTGCCCGAGTCACGCACGGGGAGCCACAGGCCTGTGTGCTGTGCGGTGGACGTGGGTCCACGTGGGCAGCCAAAGGTGGGGCTCCAGGGCAGGTGTGGCTGGCACCTCGTGCCGGGGCCTTCGTGCTGGCCCAGGCCGTGCGGTGGGTGGGCCCTGCGTGCGTTTGGAGCACTCTCCACTCCCACCCTCCACTCCCTCCTTGCCCCAGACCTCTGCACTGCCGCCGCCTCTGCTGCTCCCCGGCTTGGTCTGGGGACACCTGGAGGGACTGTGTGGAGGGAGCAAGGCTCAGTATGCTTAGCCTGTGCCACCACCACTCTCTGCAGCACCCCTCACCCGTGACTGAACAAGCGGGCCTGGAGCCCTGGTAAATCCCGCCCTCTCCTGCTGCCACACCGATCTTGTGTGTTGCGTGTCCTTGCTTCGTGCCCAGTTACCTGGCTCTGCTGGGGACAGGCCTCCTCTAAGTGGAGGGATGAGCTTGTGGGAACTTCCCGTAGCAGACAGTGACACTCTGACAACCAATGGCACCTCTATAGTCCTCCCTTGCCTTCACTCTTCTGCTCTGAATGTTTCTGTCCTGAGCTCCCTGGACCCCCCTGTCCTCTGCCCTGGTCCAGGTCCCTGTCTGTACAGCGGCAGCTGGATGCAGGACAGTGAGCACAGTGTGATTAGAGATGCCGAGCACGTGCGTGGACAGTGGGTGGGGATGAATCACTGGACCGTGAGGGGCAACGGGAGTGGGGACCCCAGGCCTGCCCGGCGCCCCACCAAAACGCACCACTTCAGACTGTAAAGCAGCATCATCAATCATCAGCCGTGCGCGCTTAACCTCTGGCCCTAACATCTGTTCCCAACTGTGCCTCAGCCATCTGCCGAGTGGCCTGCAGAGGGACCTGTGGGCCCATGTCCAGAGCTCAGGAGCCCTGGCTATGCCTGGCTGGTCCTTTCCTCCCTATTTCCATGGAAGCAGCCAGAGGACAGGGACCCACGGGGCCAGTACACAGCAGGTGGGAGGAGCAGTGTCAGCCTAGGAGCAACAGACTGTTCAGTGGGGAACAGCCTGCCGCAAGTGGCTTGGATTCAGGTCCCGCCTAGCCATTTCCTAACTCTTCTAGGGTATAGGTCCCAGACTCCTGGGAAGCAGGTCTGGGAGGGAAATTGAGGCTCGAAGCAGGCCCCTCCCCTGTGACACAGTCCCAGTGGACTTGGTTTCTCATCTATAGCAGGTCGTGCACAGTGAATGTGCCAGGTGGGTTAAGGGACCAGCCTAAGCAGCTGCCCAGGTGACTGCTGACCCTGCCCACTGCTTGAGCCAACCCTGGGCTGCATCTGCAAGAGAAACAGGCTTCTAACCTGGATGTACTGCTAACTGCTCTGCACGAGTTTGGGTTGGTCCTTCCCTTGCCCAGCATGACTCCTCCCAAGGCCTGGATGCTGGGCTCAGGGTGGCCCTCTTTCCCGTTGAGTTGAGAGGCCTAGAAGTCCTCAGCTGGGGGCAGCGAGCAGTCAGGACCTGCGCTGGGAGCTGGCACTGGAAGGTCCTCATCCCTAGCTGGCTCATCGTTATGGTCCCTTTCAGCCCTGTCCTTGTGGAATTCTGACCTTGTGAGCAGCACCCCCCGGCCAAGGGACCCCTAGCTGGAGGGGAGTGGGGTCCCTCCTCCATGGTATCTGTACCTGGGGTGCCCTTTCTCAGTGGGCTGAAAAAAGGTTAGAAGTCTGCTCTTCCCAGGAAAGGCTTTGATAGAATTTTAAATCTGTTGCTACTTCAGTGTGGAGGGAGAAAGAATGAAATTAGAAAATAAGAGATGTTTTAAATAGTTGAAATGTTAAGAAATCCCAGAGGGCAGGCAGAGCTCTCTGATACTGAGGTTTCCTTGGGGCTGGGGAGCCGAGTACTGTTAGCTGGGATCCCCCTGCCCTTCTCTGGGCTATGTCCCAGGCAGTGAGGCCAGGCATTCCGGCCACGGCCCAGGCTTGTTGGCAGCTGTCAGAGGGACAGACAGGTGGCCCCGCCTCAGCTGCACTGCTGGCTTTCAGTTGGGCTGGATGGGGCTACACATCCTGGGGCTCAGGAAGCACCTCTGCTGGGCCACCCATAGACTTTACTGAGAAGTTCAAAGGGGTTTCAGCCAAGGTGCAGGAGTTGTGCTGAGGCTGAAACAGGACCCAAGTGTAGCCTGGGTGCCAGGGACTTCAAGGCAGCTCCTCCCTGCAGGACACCCAGCAGGCAGGCTGTGAAAGGAGCCTGATGTCACCCCAGGGTGTATCCTCTCTTCACAGCACCTGGGGCGGGCTGCAAGTTCCCCCAGCCTGGCTCTGCACAGCTCTCATGCTGGGTGTGGGTGACTGTAAGGAGGTGGGCCTCGAGGAGCTTAGTCAGAGTCTGGTGGGGGGCACAGATGGCAGAGAGCCGGAGTGCTCCCCACTGGGGCAGCAGGCAGCCTAGCAGAAGACTTCCTGGAGGAGAGGGTAAAGGGCAGGGCAAGAGCTCTCCAGTGGAGGCAGGAGGGAGGCTGGATAGGCAGCAGCATGGAAGCAAGAGCACAGAGGTGTGTAAGGAACTGCGTTCAATGTGCCGGGCTCAGGCAAGAGGCTGCCAGGGGCCCAGGCCCCGAGGCTTGGGAAGCCAGGCTGAGAGCAGCCTGGGCTTCCCTCTGGAGCAAAGGGGGGCCACAGAGAAGCAGACAGTCCACCCACCTACTTAGCTCAGCTCAGGGAGAAGATGGATCAAAGCCAGGGAGGCAGAGAGACAGCAAAGGCCAAAGGAGAGGGTGACCTGCAAGCACGGAAGGACCACTGTCCTCCACACACACATACCTGGGAGCAGCTCCTGGCCCAGGCATCTTCCCTTCCCATCACCAGCAGCCAGCTGTGCAGAAGTGTGGAGCTGCTGCAGGGCCAGACACTCCGTCAGGACGTCGGCCTCCGTGTCAGGGCTGGAATGCAACTGGGGAGCAAGCAGAGGGAAGGATGCCAGTGAAAGACCACCTGCCCATAAAGCCCCTTGTTTCGTGAGACAGGGCAGGACCCTCTCACGGCACCTCAGTCTCCTCATCAGTAAAATGGGCTAATGGTGGACACTGAGATCACGTTAGTCCGGGTCCTCTGGGCAGCAGGGGCCAGGGTGGGATCTGACCGGCAAGGACTTTATTGAAGAAGTGCCTTATGTGGGAAAGCAGGAGCGCCAGGGGAGGGGGTCGCCCTCTGCCTATGAGGGAAAGAGGGACGAGAGAGGAAGGCTTCCTATGTGGGTGTCAAGGCCCACGTCTCTCAGAGGAGTCAGCGATGCCCAGGACTGAAGTCACTGGCGGGGCACAGGCGGAGGGAGGTGCAGCTCTGCACAAAGCTGAGCTGGATGGCCAGGCGTGCCCATGGAGTCTCCCCAGGTTTGTTGGAGTTGCCTGGAGTGCACACTGTCTGACACAATGTGTCTGCCCTGCCCCCCAGGGCTCTTATTTCTGGGTATGAGGGGCATCAGAGAGTCCAGGGCTGGGCACAGAATGGCTGGGTTCGAGTCCATCCTACCTCTTACTCCCTGTGTGACACCAGACAACACCCAACCTGTCTGGCTCCCCCTTGCCCTGCCTGTAATACGCAGCCCTGACTGTACATGGTCCACCTGCTCTGAGCAGTGAGATGCTGAGGGCTGGCTGAGCTCCTGCCACCTGAGAGTCCTGTGGGATCACATGATAGCAGGCACAATGGCTTGCTATGTGGGCTGAGGTCAGCTGCCTAGGTACACCAGGGCCAGACATGCCTAGTCACCCATGCCAATCTTTGACCAACACCCCTGACCACTCCCAAGAGCAGGCATCTGGGAACATCTTCACCTCTCCAGACAGGGCCAGGACACTGGAGGATGCAGGAGCCCAGGGACAGGTGCCTGGAGCAGGTGAGTGCCTTGTCGCGTGAGCCTGGGTAGCTGGAGGTGAGCCCCACAGGTTCCCCGATCCCCAGCCGAAGGGCCAGGGCCAGGCTGGGGAAAGCATGCGGCCTCCAGTCGGGTTCTCAGCACCCCAACCCCGCAGCTGTTTCCCATGTAAATGAGTTCATGGCACAAGGGGCAAGGCATGAGCTTCTAGACCGCAATGTCGATGCAATTACAACAGCAGGAGAGGAGACTTGAGGAAGAAAAGCATTTCTAATTCTGAGGCACAGGAGGGCTGCCAAGAACATGTCACAATATAAGGGTCACTTTACCAAGAGAGATGCACCGTCCCGATGGCCCTTAATGGATGCACACTGGTGGGAAGCCTACAAATCTGCGGCCCGAGTCCCCGGGGCTCCGCGGGAGCCAAGCCTGGGGCCTGGGAAAACCAGGGTAGGAACCGGGTCCTCGGGCACTGGTGGGCTCAGGACAGACACCTCCTCTTTGCGGAGCCCTGGCCCACTGAAGCGTGGGCTGTTCCTTGTCCCTGATCAGCTGCTCCCCGAGAGGAGTGTCAGGGGCTCAGGAAGCAGATAGATGGGTCTCGGTGGGACTCCGACTCTATCACTCTTGGGCTCCGCAACTTGGGTGGTTTGTTATTAAGGGCCTCAGTTTACACATCTTTAAAAGGAGAATAAAAATAGTGCCCAGCCCTAGGGTCCCAGGGAAGACTATGAGACATAGTATGTGAAGCACCAACCCAGTACCTGAGCCTTGGTACACCTAGGGAAAAGCTGAGAGCCCTTCCAGGGTGAATACGGAGGTGGAATTTTTGCCAGGAGCTCACTGTGTGCGCTCTGGCCTCATCCCTCCTCAGCCCTGGCACTTCCAGTGCCTCCCCTCATGCTGCAGGACAGAGACCTCCCCATCATGAGGTCGGTTTGCTCCCAGCAGCACAGCCCCTTGCTGACATCCTGAGATGGAGCCATCTGCTCTCATGCCACAGGCCTTTGCATTTGCTGGGCTGGCGACACCACAGGGCCCCATCCGGCAGGCTGGACAAGATAGTAGGCTCTTCCACTTGTCCTACTGGTCCCTGCGTCTCTCTTCATGCACGCACCTCCCTGGCCCACAGCCCTCCTGCCCACTGAGTGCCCCCAGCCTGGAGCTCCAGCCCCATGCTACTGCCCTGTCTCTCCCGCACGGCCCAGCAGCCTCCACTCACGCCGTTCTGCTCCAAAACAGAACACGCTGCTCACTTCCTGAAACCTGCCTCCCTGGGTGCTCGATCCTGGCAAAGGTGCCCCCATGTCTGCCCTGGGGTGCCTGCTGTCCCCCTGCCCAGCCAGCTCCTCCTGTTGCCCCCACTCTGCTCTGGGCTGGTGCCTGGCACAAGCCACCCCAGCCTTGCCCCGCATGGCCTGGAGGGACCTTCTCTGCTAGGTAGAGTGACAGGAGTCCTACATGGCCAAGGGCTCGGCCTGGTGCTCCGGGCACCCTCCTCTTAGTGGAACTCACCTGCCCGGGGGTGCTTGCTGCTGCTAGACTAATGACATACACCAGCTTCTGTTCTGAACTTGTAAATCCTCCAAGTACAGTAATTCTAAGTCCTCAGTGTGTGTCAACTCATCCAGTAAAAGTGAGCCCTTTGCTGCCCTCGAAGCCCGCAGCTGAGGAGTATGAGGCACAGAGGTCTAAAGACCTGGTCCAGGGCCACCAAACCCTGCAGGCAACTCTGAAGCTCATGCCCCTAACCACTGCTCTCTGTGGCCCCAGAGACCACTTCTTTCATAAATCCTCCTGCTCCCACACAGAAAGGCGAAGACCCTTTATCTGTGCCCCTAACCATGCACACCCGCACCGCCACCTCTGTTATACTGTGCCAGGCACTCGATGTCTGCCTCTCACCACAAGAGGCGGGCACCATGTCTTCGGTATAGCACCCTCCACGCCCCCAGGGCCCACCATCTGAGCAGTGGCGAATGGGCCAGGAGAGGGAGAGGTGCTGGGGGCAGTCAGTCCATGGGGGCAGAGGGGGGGGTGTGAATATCTGCCCAGCGGGGACAAGGAGAGCAGGGCTGGGGCAGCAGACCCTCAGGGACAGGGTGGCAGGCCGGGGGCTGGACGGGGTGGGCAGCAGTGTTTGTGGGCGTGTGCACAGGTGGTAGGGAGTGTGGTACCTGGCTTGGTGCTGGTCAGGAGGCTGCTTACCTTCTTGCGCACCTGCTGCTCTTTGGCTGAGTGGGCCTTCACGTGCTTGCGGAGGGAGCTGGGGTCCGTGTAGCGCTTGGAGCAGCCAGGGATCTGGCAAGCGTACGGCTTCTGGAACACCACAGGGGAACGGAGGCTGGTGAGCGAGGGCCGCCCCTCAGGGCCTTGGTCGCCTGTACCACCTGCTGCAGTAGGATGGTGGGGGGGCGGCACCCGGCCTGGGAGCCCACGCTCACTGTGCCCTGACCCACGCTATTGGTGGCTCAGCTGAGTCGGTGCTGGGAGAGGGCGCCCTTCACACCACAGCTGCAAGGAAGCAGCTGCAGACAACGGGGTCCCAGGAGAGGGTACCCCACACAGCAGGAGGCACGGGGAAGGAAGGGGACAGCACAGGGATGGGATGACGCGTGGGCCCAGCACAGGCACTGGCCACCCCTCGTAAGGGCATCCAGGTGGCACAGGCAACCCAGGCACAAGCGCAGGAAGCCAGGAAGGAGCTGGCTGCGGAGAGCTGGCGCGGAGGCGGGCCTGCCCTTCGCCTGGGGAGTGGGCTGCTCCCTTCCCCACTGCCCTCACCACTCACCTAGAAGGGAGGTGGGGACCCAAGCCATCCTCACGGCCTGAACTCCTGCCCTGGGCTCCACCTGCACCCCCAGAGCGCCGGTGCACACAGCTGGCCAGCTTTGTGCGATCTCTAACCCCAACCCCGGCCTCCTGGGGCTTAGAACACAGGCCATGCCTGGCACTGATGGCCCCTGGAGACAGGCCCTGCTTCCGCCTCCAGTCCCCGCCCCTCCCACAGTCCTCCTGATGTGTCCTATCCAGCTGCTACCTCCTCTGCTTGGATCCTGCCCCCTCCACAGGCCCAAGCATCCCAGCAGCAGTGGGCTCAGGGTCCTTCCCAGCAGGGAGGGACCAGCCGATTCACCCCACATCTCAGAGGACTTGGGGCCCTGGCTGCGCCCTGACCGCCCAGGGTCTTCCATTAGACCCTGCTTGGGGACTGTGGCTGCCGACTGGGCTCAGCGTTCGTGGGGCTTCTCTTTCTGAACACATCAAGTGATTCTGACCCTGGGCACTTTCTGCCTTCTGCAACTGCTGGGGATGGGGACAGGAGAGTGCAGGAGATGACACTTCTCAGAGTAAGTCCCGAATAGCTGTGTCCCATCAGACATGCCACATGTAGCTGTCCCCAAACTGCAGGCAACTCTGCCCCTGCCAGGCAAAGGGGAGACAGGGAGAGGGACCTATGGCCCAGGGACCTGAGGGGAATGGAAGCAGAAAGGGATGGCCATACCTTGCAGCTGCCACGGAAGGTTGCCAGGTTAAAGAACGGAGGAAAGCAAAAAGAGAGAGACAGCAGTGAGAAGCTTGTCTAGGGCAGCCGAAGATGGCAGGGCAGGAGGGAAGGCCTGTCTCCTGCCTGCCACCACAGGCTCACATGTACCTCACTGATACATATCCACACGCTCTCCTACACAACCCCTCTTTCCCATGGGCCCTAACCCCAACACACGCTCCCTCTCCCCCACAGGTCCTACCCTGGCCCCGAGCTGGCCCAGCCCTGTCCCCTAGGGCTGCTGATACTAATCCACACGCTTTTGTCAGAAAGCAAACAAACAGCTCTGTGTAGCAGGCGCCGTCCCCTGGCAACAGGGCAGCGAGGCTCCTCTCCGTGTTTGTTTTTCCAGGGCTTGATGTGTACGGAACATTCCTCAGGCCCAGCTCCCCCAAGAGCCCTCAGGAAACCCTGCGGCTGTCCTAAGCCAGCAGCCAAACCCCAGGCCTGCGGAGTCCCCAGACTGCTCCCAAGCCAAGCAGGGGCAGCCCGGCCGTGTGTGCTCCAGGAATAGCTCTCTGCTGGGGTGCTTGTGGGTGCAGGCACTGTGCTAAGTAAGCACTGGCTGCCCACGATGTCCTGAGTCCCATGCCCACCCCTGGAGACTCATCCCATTCCGACGAGCTGGAACTGAGGCCCACATGTGCCTCTGACCTCTCAGCCAGGAAGACTGAGCCTGACTGCTGGGCATCGAAGAGTATCACCCACCCACTTCGCGGATGGGAAACTGAGGCCCGGGGCGAGAGGGTGGGTTATTCAAGTTCCCATAGGGACCTGAGGCTGCCAGGGCTCGGGCCATACACTGGACACCTGGGACAGGTGAGGACCACTGCAGAGAGCCTGAGCCTGGCAGCCAGCACAGACCTCTCCCTTCTTGAGACACAGGCGCCTTACTCCAAGGAAACTGAGGCCCAGAGAAGGTGGCTTTCCTCTGACCCTGGGACCAGGCGGCAGGGCCAGCATGAGAACCAGCGCGTTCAGGGGCACTTTCCTGCCTGTTCTCTGGATGTCAAGGGAGCTGGGGACATGGCTGGGTCCCCTTTGGAAAAAGAGCCCCACCACGCATGAGGCCTGACCCACTGGGCCCATGAGGGGCATGTGCTGGTGTTGCTGGCTACGCCTTCCCTGGTTCCTGGGGAGATGAACGGCTCGGTAGCCCGTGGGCTCATCCTGGGCCTGCCTCCACCCAGCCTTGGAGCTGCGTCCCACACAGGTAGGCCTATCAGGCAGGGGACCCGTGAAGTCTGATGTTCCCCAGGCCTGGGAGGCAGGGAGAGGGCCAGAGGCTTTGTGGCCTCCAAGAGACACAACCAGGGGTCCCACCCTGGCCAGGGCTGAGGAGATGACGGAGGGCAGGGGATGTATTAGAACCACCATTCACTCTGGGTCTCTGTGGAGCCTGTGGCAGAAAGGCTGGAAGCGGAGGGGAGTGGAGTTCAGGGAGTGGAGTCAGTCCCAGGTGTGCGTCCCAGCTCTGCCACCCAGCGACAGGCGAATGACTCAATCTCCCTGAGCCTCCGTTTCCAGGTTTACAAAATGGAGGTAAACGCCCCTACACCTTGGGTTGTCACCAGGATAAAACTGAGACAACTGTTTGATACTGGGGGGCGGAGGAATAGCAGGTCCAGCCCAGGGCCTGGCCTGGCTCCATTAGTTCCTTGCTCTTTTCCAAGCACCAACCCCCCACCCTGTCCTTTCTGAGTCTTTTTCCAGCTATAAAATAAAGAACTTGGACCAGAGGCCTGTGAAGGTCCCTCCAGCTCTGACCTCTGCTGTTTCAAGGCCTCCAACTTAGCCTGGATGGTCAGTGGCCCTCTTGGGCTTGTGTCCCTATCTATGTAAGGGACAAGCTAGGCTGGACAGCCTCTCAGCTCTCCCAGCCTCACACGTATGCAGGAGGAACAGAGACGCAGGTCTGGGGCCTGGACATGGATTCGGCCTGCAGACTCATTTCTTGCTGCACAGGCTGGGTCCTCCCAGAGCACTGCCTGCCCCCAAGGCCTAGGAGGCTGGACAGAGGCCTAGGTCTGAGTCAGCGGCACCACTGGCCAGCTGCGTGGCCACAAGCAGACCCTGAACATAGCCTGTTTCTCTCCTCTAAGTGGTTAGGGGCCCTGGTGGAACAGGGTCAGTATGAGGATGGTGTCCTAGAAGTGCTATCACAAATGAGATCCCTGTGCACGCCAGGGAAGGCCTGGACCAGCCCTGGGACACAGCTGTGGTGAGCAAGGGTTTGGCACACACAAGGGAAGGAAGGTGGAAGGAGATGCAGGCGTCTGGAGGCCAGGCCACTGTGGCAGGAAGCTGGCATCTCACGAGCTGCCCGCCTCAATTCATTACAGTCCACGAGGGACAAAGGTTGGCCCTGGAGACGCTCTGGTCTGTTCCCAGGAAGGGGTGGGCAGACAAGCCCCAGGAAAGGATGCAGAGGGTGGAGAGGCAAGGATGCTGGGGCCCAGTATGGGGCCCCTGGACCAAACCAGAGGACCAAATACCAGAGCCCTGTTGAGTTGCACTCCCCCAGAGAGAAATGGGGCAGAGCTCAGAGATACTTTTGCCACAACTGGAAGATGGGGAGTCTCCTATCTCTCTCCTGCCATCTAGCTGTCACACGTTCTGTACTATGCAGGACACACCCAGCCCATGCTAGAACCCCCACCCCAGCTATCGACAAGGCCTAAGGCCAACTGTGGCTCTGCATAGCCAGGGTCTGAGTGCCTCACTGCCCCGTCCTGCCCCCAGCCTACCGTGTCCAGGTGGGTGCGCTGGTGCTTCGCACGGTCGCTGGAATTGCTGAAGGCCTTCTGGCAGCCTGGGTGCTGGCACAGGTATGGCTTCTCGCCTGTGTGGCTCCTCAGGTGGATCTTCAGGTTCTCCAGCCTCGAGAAGGCTTTGCTGCAGCCTTCAAACTGCGGGACAGGCTGGTGAGAGGTGTGCTTGGCCCAAGCGCCCACCCACTCATGAGCAGTCCCCTGAAGGAGGCCTTCAGGGCCTCAGGCCCTGCTGTGCCCTGTCCTGCCCAGCCTTCCAGGAGCTCCAGTTCAGCTCCCTGCCAAGTGCTCAGGGCCTGGAAAAACCCAAAATCTGACTGAGAAATGGGCTGTGAGGGTGGGAGGAATGCAATTTTCCCCTTCTGGACCAGAGAGGTTCTATGCATGTCTCAGTACAGAGGCTTCCATTGTGGAACCCAGCCCTGGATCTTCCCAGGGGCTTTGGGCAGTGCCTGGGGCCTCTGGGCCATATCTCCTTGTCTCCAAACGTGACACTGTGTGGCTACCGTCTGGGTGGACCGAGGGGGCGCAGACAGCACTCTGGGTCACTGCTGTGAGAATAACTGCATGCACTAAGTGTGACTCATAGCCAGCTGCTCAGCTGTCCGTGCCCACCTCACCCCAGGCCCCGTGCTGGGCAGCGGGCACAGCACAGCCATGTCGGCCCTGCGTAGGGTGTGTGTGTGTGTGGTGGGCAGAGCGGGGGAAAGGAGTCACAGGGGGCAGTGAGGAAAGAGCAATGCGGGAGCCATGCCCAGCCTCCCGCACCCCGGCTGCCCAGCCCCGCAGCCTCCTCCGACAGCCAGCTCCTCCCTGCCTCCTCCTACCCCAGTCTTGACACAGTTGCCCAGCAGCTACTGATGAGACACGGAAGCCTGTGGCTCCCTGCTTGCTGGCCCTCTGACCAGCCCTTCCGACCTGACACTTCCCCCATTCCTGCCTCTAGAGCGATGTCAGGAATCAGCCAGGCACATCCAGCCTTCATTCATGCAAGTCACTCAGCAAGGAGTGTGGGCTTTCCAGGGATCCTGCACCCCTCCCCCGGCCTACAAATGCCAGCCCAAGGAGACCCTCAGGTGTGACTGGCTGCTGCTCCCTGCTTTGGCCCACTATTCTGGGTGCGTGCACACAGTAGGACTGGAGGTCGAAGCATACACGTGAGAAGTATGTGCCACCGCTGTCTCCAACTCACAGTCACTGTAGGGCGACCCTCCCAAGGTCTCAGAGCTGTGAGCTGTGAGGACAGGACACAGGCCAAGGCTGATGCTAAAGCCCAGGTAGCCGTGCTAAGCCTTTGCCTTCTGGGGCTGGTCCATTCTAGGTGGGCAGAGGGAGAGACCTTTGAGGAGGAAGGGCCCAGAGATGGCATCTCATCCCCAGGTACAGAGCTGCGCTGCCAAGTGCGAGCACCCGCTCCAGATTAGGATCCACATGACCCCAGCTCTCTGCACTGGGGTGGCCTGGGATGAAGGGGGCGGCTGAGTTGCCTGAGGGCAGGCCTCAAGAAAGCCTACCCTTTCACACCCTTGCTCAGCACAGCCCTCCACAAGGAGTCTGTGCCCTTCCAGGACGGGCCTCAGCCCGCCCTCCCAGAGCCTGCCCTGCCTGTGACCTTGCAGCGGGGCCAAGAGTGTGTCCACACTGGGAAGCCTGGCCCTCCGTCTCCACTGAGCAGGGCCTGTTCCTTTTTTTGATTTTGCCAGTGTTCAAGGTACCTTACCTGCAGTGAGTGGGAGGGCTGGCTGGCGAGGTCCACAGGCAGAGGGCAGGTTCTGTGCCCGCCTAGTTCCTCCCCTTGGCCTTGAGGGGTCAGAAGCCCCAGTTTAAGGAAGTTCTACACATTTCATGTGGATGAACCGGCTCCAGCCTGAGCTGGGTGAACCTTGATATTGCGACAACCCAGGCACGGGTCCTGGCCACCAGGAGTGAGTGAGTGAGAGACACAACCCTGCCATAAAATGCCACAATCAAACTCAAGGGGAAACGGGTGTGGCAGCAGAGTGGGTGCCTCAGTCACCTTGCGGGCTGTGAGATGCCCAGAGCGACCGATAACAGTGCTGAGATGGGAAGGGACGGATGGGAAGGGAGCGTGGGAGAAAGGCCGGCCGGAGACAGGGGGCAGCCCATCACACGGCCTCTCCACCACCCCACCAAGCTGGAACTCTGACCAGCACAGCCAGGGACAGGTGCAAGGTCACAGGCAGGGCAGGCGGAGGGCAAGCGGAGGCACCAGGGTCCTGGAAGGGCACAGGCTCCTTGTGGAGGGCCTTCTGCTGATGCAGGGTATGCGCTGTGGTAGGGGGCTCTACTGGGCAAGAAGTCTGAGGGAGTCCAGGGCCAGGCTCACGAGCTGGCTCTCATCTCACGAGGAAGCCACCCTTGGCTGTTGGTGACGGGCGGGGCTGGGAAAGGAGACAGAGAAGGCAGCCACAGCAGTTATGCCTGAGGGTGTCACAGGGCACCATCTAGGACCAAGGCTGCAGATGGAGCAGAGGCCAGGGCAGAGCTGCCGGGACAGGCACGAGGCCGAGGAGCTCTGGCCTCCGTCTGCTGGGGCTGGTCCATGGACAGCCTCTTGCAGCTGGGTTTCTGAGGCAACCCCCTTCCTACTTGTAGATGTGGGCCTGTCCATCTTCAGAACCAGAAGGGAATCCTGGATGGAAAGTGACAGGCCACCGGCTGCCCCTGCTTACGCACAGCAACTTGTGCCACGTTATGACGACGTGGGACGGAGGAGTCAGGCTGGCGCGCGGCCTCCTCCCAGCTCACAGCTCTTCCCTTTGTTCCTTGGGGGCGCAGGCAGGGAAGGGAGGGATAACTCCTTGGAGCTGCGTGATTTTCCTGACTTCAGCGGAGTACACCAGACTCTGGGGATCAGTATATCATCTCTCTTGGGGGTTCCTGTCAGGCGATTGTGCCCCACCCCTGCCTTTGTTCAGACTCTGTTCCTACTGGGACACCTTGCCTTTTAACTCTCTGACAATTTAATTCATACATTTTTCAAAAGCCCAGAATCCGCAGCTTGGTGTCTATGTCTTGCAACATGGCTCCGACTGCCTCTGTCCTGCATCTACCCGTGGGTCAGATGCAGGGTGATGACTGCCTTGGACCTGGTCAGAAATCTGTTTTGCTCCAGATCTTCCCTAGGCCTGGAAGGCCTTTCCTTCCTTTGCTCACTCAGCACACACATCCCGTTTATTTCGTACATCTCCAAAGAGCAGGCTTCCTGCCTCCTCTACAACGCCCGAGCGTGGGGTGAGAGGGCCTCACCCCAGCCCCTGCCTTGTCACCAGGCCTCCAGGCTGGGTTCATGACAAGAGGCCCAGCATCTCCAGCACAAAGCTCAGGGTAGGTTGTAAGTGTGGCCCATTGCAGGTGAGACCAGGATCCAAGCACCCTGGGAGGACAGCTCCTCACCCAGCACCCATCAGCACACCTGAACGTGCATCTGCTTGGCCCTGTCCCGCTCCCTGCCCACCCCTCCCCTGGAACTTTCCAAAGCACAGCTGCAGGCTGGGGTCCAGGAGGTCCCGGTGGGAGTGGACCCAGAGGTAGCAACAGGTGGAGAAGGGGTGCTGCCCAACAGGACAGGCCTGGGATGAGAATGCTGCAGGGCCCCTGGAGCCACGCATGCTCCCATCAAGACCAGCAGCACCCTAGCTGCAGCTGCCTGCCAAGGGCTCCCTGCGGTCCTGCTCATCAGCAGCCACAGGGAAAGAGGTAGGAACATGTGTGTGCTTGGCCCTACCGGGGCCTCTCCTGCCGTGACCTCCTCTCTCCACGCCCCCGGCAAGTGTGACTGTGCCCGCTCTGATGAGGAGCAGAGACGGGGTCCAGTGAGCAAAGGCACCACAGGCAGAGACACTGCTGCAGACCAGCCGGGCTGCTGTCTTGGCTGCCCCGCTTCCCGAGTGATCACAGCTGAGTCACTTGAGCTCCGTGAGCCTCAGTTTCCCCACCTATATAACTGGGGGAGTTCTACCAACTTCTGTGGGGGAAACTGAGGCAGGAACTGAGAAAGGCAGTAAGGACTGAAGACTGCACAGCAAGTAATAAGATCTTGGCACCAAGATTCACTGTAGATACCACTTCAGGTCACGGAGCAGGTAAACAGTGGAATGTCAGTGCTTGGGGTGGCAGCTCCCTGGCCTGCTGCCCCTCAGAGGTGTGTGTGTGTGTGTTCTCACTTCCCTGGGTCCCTCTTTCTAGCCCTGTCCTCGTGCAGCCTGGCTTCCTAGCGCTGGCTCAGGTTAGGCTCTGGCCTGGGCGGGGCCCGGGAGCAGACTGGAGGGACAGGGGTTCTGCGTGGCCCCACCTGCAACAGGCAGCTGGCTCCGGGCTCGGTCCTGCCCCCTCTGCTGACAGGCACCCGGTAGGCTTGTTCCCCTCCACTTGCAGCTGGGGAGCCAGATCCCATCAAGGGTTCCAGCAGCGGTGGGAGGGCCTGGCCTAGAACCCTAATGCCAGGGCTCCTGTCTTAGTTTCCTAGGAGCCCCTCTCGAGGGCCTCAGCAGACACCCCTTCCTCAGTGCCAGTGCTTTGAGTCTATTTCTAAATTGCGCTGCTAACCCGTCACCCTCACTCGGCACCTCTAGGCCTCCTTGCTGGCCTCCCAGCCTGGCTCTGGAGTCCAGACTTGGAAAGTACACAGCTCTGTGACTGTGGGAAGTCAGGGCCCCCTCTCAGTGCCTCAGTTTCTCTGTAAAGTGACAAAAGTAAGCATCCCAGAGCCGTGAGGGCAAGACCATGTGGATTTCTAGGTGGCAGCTGTTTCCGTCGTCCCCTCAGAGCACACTGGCTTGGCTTTAACTGTCCCAGTGCTTCCATGTTGCCTGGCCGAAAACCCTTTCCAGGCCCAGCAAGGAGCCCTTCGAGTGCCAAGAGCAGTGTCCAGCGAGAGCAAGGCCACTTTCAGAGTGGGAGTGGCTGTGTGGGGGCTGGGAGTGCAGCAGTGCAGTGGGGCAGGGGCCCCCACTGCTGTGTTGAGGGGCACAGATGCTGCCAGAACGGAACACAGGTTGGGGGCCAGAAGCAGAGCCAACTGGCACAGCCCTGGCTTGGGGTCTCAGTCTCCCTGAAGGGGATGGGGGCTGGGCCCTAAGGTAATGCTGCCATGAACCATGGGCACAATGGTTCAC